TTTGACCTTATACCATCAGTAAAACTTTTTACGTCAAATACCCTAATGGTTTTCAAGGCAGTTCTACAGTGAGGTAAATTGTCGGTCCAAACAACAATAACTAACTTCCCGCTGTTTTCACAACACCAGCATTCACTGCCTTTTTCACATAGCGTATACGTATATTTATATTAGTCCAATACTGTAAGTTACTATACATGCCTTACCCTCTCCACCAGCCTCTCCTCGCTTCACAGTGTGAAAACCTTTTCAGTTTGTTTTGATTGTTGCCTCCACGTTCATGTTTAAGTACCTGTGTGAAGGTGTAACATGCAAGACATCCCAGACGGCAGCTAGAGTTGTTTTTTTGTGTGTTTTTTCCTTTCGAATATCATACCTAGAGGTCTCCAGTTCAAGCTTTGGTGATGAGTCTTTGATGAAAAATAGAGGAGTTAGCAGTCAATGATACATCCTGCCTGCAGTTCTGAGGAAAACTCTGTCAGCTCATGAATACTTCAAACTAAATCATCCCTATAGCCATTTTAAAGAACAGCATTTGTAGAGCTGTCATTTCAGTGACTGCTTTATTACTGTTGTTTTTAAAGGAACTACATTTTCATGTTTGTATACGTAATTTTGTTCAATACATTATAGTAATGCTGTTTACATTTTGTGTACTTCCACCCTTTTATCACCAATATGAGTATTTTTTTTCTAGTTTATTTCATACTCGCTGTCTGCATGTATTTATATGGCCTGCTCTCGCCTTTGTATTCTATTTCTTTGCTCTGTCTTGTTACTGTTTGTGGCTCCATTGACCCCGCTCCAGGGCGATCATTAAAGTTTCATCTTATCTTACATCTAAAAGCCAAGAAGGATAGAAGAAAAAAGCCATCAGAACTGAGAAATGATGGTGGATATCGGAAGTGTTAATCACAGTCTACATCTCGTCCTGTTGTCTCTGTGTGCACCATCTGACACGGCAGGCGAGCTTAAGCCAGTCTCCATTTATATTGAAAACAGTGAAATCAGGGCACAGTGATGGAAATTCTGGCTTCTATGTGAGAGATGTCTTCTTCTGTCTATTTTAGTTGACCTATTAGTTAGGTAGAAGTTTTAAGGAGTTGACCCTTTATTTCTCTGTCCTTAAACCTACAGTACAGAACAGAGAAAAAAATCTGACCTTAGCCATCAGTAAAACTCTGCCTTCATGTTTTATTTCATATACATTAATAGCTTTCGAGACCTGAAAACATCTGGTAAACGACTATGTTTTTCTTGTCCAAATACTTCTCACTCACCATTTGATCCTAGACAAAAAGGTTTGATCTTTTTTTTCTTATCAAACAAAAACGTGCACAATGCTTATTTATAAAGTTTTACTTCAAAGAATGCCCAAATTCCTCTTCTCCCTTGGTACATTTAAATATAGTACTTACAATGTCAGGTCACAGGACATTTTAGCACAAGCTGCACCTCTTAATAACGCTGAACTTAGCCAAACTAGGTTAAAAAAAAACTGCTTTATACAAATAAAATGAACTGAATGAAAAATAGAAACTCCATTCTCTCTTTTTTAATCAGAATATTTTAAAGGTTATATTTGCAATATACCTGCAGTATGTATTTGTGTTTTGTTTTATGTCTGTCTAGTCTCAGATTGTATGTTTTCTGTTCACAAAGCAATCCCCATCTCAATGAGGTTTCATTTTTAAATAAAGAATTTTAAAATGTAATAATAATTTGCCAAAGGCCAATAAACTGAATGCCATTTCAGCCCCTTTTAACATGCACTCTTTTTCATTCCCCTATTAAAATATGAACTGAATATGACTATTTTAATAGAACAATCTCATGTCTCTGCCCCTTCAGTTGCTCACCTCACTAAAAGATATGACTGTTTTGGAGAATGTCCTAAACAGTGAAAACATAAGGGGGGGAAAGAGAGGAAGCCTCTAAGACATTAAAATGGGATCCAAACACAGACTCACAGTTTATAAACTATATTTTGATCATTATGTGATATGATTAAAAAGTGGTGGGTGTGTCCCCATAGACCATAATTACCCAAATATTAAGGTAACTATCAAAAAATAGTCAGCTGACTAACCTGCATTAGGTTCCATTCATTGTCGGGTCAAATCTCACACATAAAGCGGCCGATGTCTGAATCACTAACAAACTGGGGAAGCAGCATCTTTCACACTGCCCCTGCCAGTCTAATAGCAGCAGTAGCTCCTCCAAGTTTCATGAAATTAGGTGGTATTATGAATATTAGTTTAGTTTAATCATTTTTAAGACTTGATTGACTAATAGCATATGTTTGGGGTTTTTTTTTTTCAAGAGATTTAAGAGATCCTTCATCTGATGTTTCATTTAGGACCTTTAATTTTACACGTTACCAACAAGTTTAATAAAATTCAGCTTGAAAGTTTTTATGTTATCCTGCTTGAGTCAGATAAAATGGAAAGATGACATTGATTGATTGATTGATTGATTGATTGATTGATTGGTAATTATTTTAACATGTGAACAATATACAGGTATATTTAGAAAAGAAAATAGGAGAGAAAAAAATACTATACAAAATACATACAAGAAAAATGTTCTGATTAATTTACATGTTGAACGGGAGTGGGAAGAAGTAAACACTTATTTAATCCCACCCCTTTGCTATAAATTATCAGTTAATATTTAGTCAGCTTCCTTACCAATATAATTTGTAATAAAAAAATAGTGAACAGATTTCTGATATACTATATACTATAATATCACATCATGAGGTTTTTTTTGTTTGTTTTTTGTTTTTATTTATTTATTTATTTATTTTGAAATCTTACTAATGTCTCGGTTCTGACTTTCCCTGAAATGAAGCATTATAAGTTCTTTTTTTAAAACATATGGCTTCCCATATGAAAAAGAAATAGTAAAAACATGATTTACTCATAAAAGTGTCCACTTTCTCATTACTTTCATATATTGTTTTAGTAAGTATCCAAAACATACAAGTTTCATTATATAATTTTTCAAG